TCTGTCTGTCACTTGTTTTTTCCTGCGCTGCATAACCCTCCGGAAATGAGAGACCACTCTGCACGTTCTTGTCACCTTCATTAAAGGAGAACTATGAGGTGAGTGCTTTTCACTCACCTCATAGTTCTAGCCGACCTGTGACAATGAGACTGTCACAGGTCGGCTCAGTAGATCGGGAGGTGAGCGAACACATACCGGCGTTCGCTCACCTCTGAATCCTGTCACAGCTCTCTGCCGTGACAGGGGGAGGGGCTGGATTCCCCTCTCCTTGCTCTGATCCGCCAGCGCTGACTGGCAGATCGGACAGGGAGGGGGCGGGTACAGATGGCCCTGCCTCTAGATATGCAGAGCCAGCTGTCACTCATGCAACTGGGCGAATCCAGACATAATTGTCGGGATCCGCTTCAGCTGCGGCGTCTTAGTATACCGTGAGCAGTAGCTCTCCCATAGTTCTCCTTTAAAGCTCTGCACATTCTTGTCACCTTTATTACCGCTCTGCACTTTCTTTTTACCACCATGCTTGCTCTGCACTTTCTTTGAAGCCATGCTGGATTGAATACTGTACAATACGGAGCTAAAAAGCTTCACAGCAGGTGTGCACAGCTCTGTCTGCGTTCATCACCCGATCAGTGGCGTAACAATAGCCATAGCGACCCAGGCGGCCGCTATGGGGCCCGGGCACAGGGGGGCACGGCCAGGACACCCCCTTGATGCCGTGCGGGCCGCCTGGGTCGCTATGGGTTCGAACGCGCCGCTGTTCAGGTCACGGTGATCTGTGCAGTGCTGTGTTCTTCTCCATAATTGACTCACTCTAATTGACTCAGCAGCGGCGGTGGAGGAGGCTGGACGTGGCGGGGAGGAGGAGGCGGGGCCCGGGGGGTCAGCATCAGAGAAGGAGGCGGGACCGGTGACGGAGGCGGGCATGGCGATGGAGGACGGAGTGGGCCCGGCGATGGAGGAGGGAAGACGGAGTAAGAAGAGGCGGACAGGTAAGGAGTGTGACCAGCCCACCTGAGGGTGACCCTGCAGAGCCCACCATAGAGAGTCTATGATGGGCTTTGCAGGGTCACCCTCAGGTGAGCTATGTGGGCTCTTCAAGGGGTGTAACTAGAAATCACAGGGCCCCATACACAATTTTGTTATGGGGCACTATGATTTCTAGTTACGCCCCTGCACCCGATGCAGACTTCGCGAACCGAATTGCTCGCGAACATACGCGAGGTACCACTGTACATATTTCTGTGATTGAAAAGAATGCAAGGAGAATGACCAGCTGTTCCTTCCTATAACTGAACAAGAGAGTTCTAAACACTAGTATCTTTGAAAACATGTAATGTCATGGTAATGCATACTGATCAGTATGCATTACAGGACATGGATGTGTCAATCCTTGTTTTCAATTACTATTTCAAACACTATATTTGTACTGTGTTAAGAATTCTGAATACTGTCGTAGACTCTGCTGGGGCCCCAGGATATTGTTTAATGATTTGGCTGTTTCATGGAAGATGGGTTTAGTAAAAATCATTTTTTCAGCTAATTCATTGGGTTTCCAGATCTCATCCTTTTTAGTACCCGTGTACATTATTTTAAATGCTTACTTCCATTGTTTTTCTATCCAGAAATAATTTTTTATCATTTTGTGCATTGTACATTTGAACTTGTTAGAAGATTTGACTACTCCAGAAGAGTCAGTTACCTAACACAGCCATGTCCCTTCTTGCACGTTGTAGCCTCTTCTCTTCTGGCCGTTGCTACTTAAAGAACAATTCCGGCCATGTACAAAATTGACCCTTGCAGTGGGGCTACCCCTGCACTGCAGCGTCATGCCGTGCCTTATATGATGGGTGAGGCCTCCCCCAGCCCGCCGAAGGTCTGCTCCAGTCCAGCTGAAGCTCTGCTCCCGTCCCGCTGAAGCGCCGCCCTGTCCCGCTGAAGCTCCGCCCCATCCAAAACCCCACCCCCAACTTGGTAACCAAGCTGTGTGAGGTGTTCTATCAAAGTTTGTGACTGCGTTAGAATTTGTGACCGATGACGTGGTCACACATTCTAATCCCGCCCAGTTTTTCGGCGGTGGAATATGTGACCGGCAAAAGGTGAAGAATTCCAATGCTTTCTCAGCTGTTTCAGGGCAGATTGACATCGCAGATCGTATGTGCAGGAGAACCGATCTGCCCTGGAACAGCTGATCGGTCCTGAAATGTCACTTCTATCCAACTTTGTGGAATGTGAGATCGCAGTCACAAAGTCGGATAGAAGTGACATTTCTAGACCATATCCACCGGTCTCCCTCCATCCAGATCTCTACTCACCTCTTCCTGGAATGTTTGTAGGTTGGTCTGACAAGAACGGTCCTTCCTAATCCATGTTGATTATCACTTATAATACCATTGTCACAAACAAAATCCACTAAATAGTCCTTTATCATCCCCTCTAACAGTTTGCATACTATTGATGTTAGACTGACTGGTCTGTAGTTCCCAGGTTGGCATCTTGCCCCTTTTTTTTTTTTAAATATTGGCACTAATGTAGCCTTCCGCCAGTCACTTGGTACCTGAGTCCTAAAGGCCAGGTCCACACCTAGGCGTATCGAATATGCGCGTTTGTCGCGCGTTTCGTGACACGCGTTTTTACCGCGATTTGCGGTAAAAAACGTTCGACAAACGCGCATTTCCGAGGGCTACCTGGCTGTATCCCAATGGAAACGCGCGACAAAAACACCCCAAAGAAGCTCCTGTACTTCTTTGGGCGTAGGGCGTTTTGTAGCGCGTTCATATGGCCTGTAATATGCCCAGGTGTGAACCATACCCATAGGAAATAATGGGATTTCGGTGTTTGAGCGTTTTGCAGAGCGTTCGAAACGCGCTACAAAATGCCCAGGTGTGAACCAGGCCTGAAATTGAGGAATAATGGTCTCGCTATAACGTGGCTGAGTTCTTTAAGTACCTATGGGTGCATGTTATCTGGTCCTAATGATTTATTTGCATGAAGTTTATCAAGTCTTTGTTGAGCCCCAGTTACTGTCAACCACTGAGGTATTTTATACACTGAGCAACTCACATTTGGGGGAGGGAGAGCTGGCCCTGCTGTCTGTATCCTCTCTGTTAGAGTGAGAGGGGGAGGCTTGCTGTGACTGTCTGGCTTGTGAAGGCTGCGGCGCCATCTTGGCAGGGGTGCGGGTCTGCCTCTCACCTGCTAATCTCCCTCTTGACTGGGATCTCTGGCCGGCGGAGGACATGGCCGTGTCACCCGTTCCTTCCCTCGTCTGACACTGCAGTTATTGCCGCGATGTGGCCGGGGTGAGCGGCGCGGGTTCCCCTGCTATGCCGGAGGGAGACGGAGCTGCTCTAAAACATGTCCGCTCCGGATCACCGCGCGCATGCGCCCCCCGCAACTCACATTCTTATCTCCATTAAACCGGTCACTCTCCTGAGTGTATACTAAGGAGAAAAATGAATTTAAAACCTCAGCCTTCTCCCTGTCGTTTGTGATTAATCTTCCGTTTTCGATTTTTATTGGGCCGACCTGCTCTTTCTTTACCCTTTTACTGTTTATATACTGGAAGAATTTTTTGGGGTTCTTCTTACAAACTGTGGCGATATACTTTCCATAATCTATTTTAGCTGCCCGGATTTCATGTTTACATCTCTTGTTGCATTCCTTGTAGTTCTGGAATGCCAATGCCGTCCCCTCCATCTTATATTTTATAAATGCTATCCTCTTTTCTTTGATGTAAAATTCTAGGGGCATTATTTATGGTTAACTCTAAACTCATAACCTGTAGAGGCTTTTAAAGCGTGATCTGTGGGCTATTTTTGTACCACAGTTTTTTTTGCAGTTTCCTGGGCACATGTAGATTTGAGGTTTGACAGCTTTCATATCTGTTTACTCGGCACAACCTAGTTTTTTACATTTTGCCAAAATTTGGGTATTATATTGTGTATGTGTCACTACAATTATTTGAATGCATTCTCTGCATCTCTGCTAATTTTGGTTTCATAAACTGTTAAGCTAATACTGTGTGACATTAAAAAAAATGCAACTGCCATTGTTTTGTTTTCTCTGCTTCCAGAAATCATACACATTTGCACATTTTAGTGCATTTTCAAGTGTTCTGCTTTTTTTTATGTTTGGCCAATGAAAGTTGAATAAAGTAGAGGGTGCACGGTGGCTTGTTGTTATGAGCTAAAATGCACAAAAATGAATGCCACTGAAGTCTATGGAGCCAAACACTTGTGTTGATGCACATGGCCATGCAGTGCACAGGTGTGATTGGCCCCATAGAGAACAATGGCAATCCTCTTGTTGTGCATTGCGGGATGCACATTAATGGCAATGGCCCCATACTGAAGAATGGCAATCCTCTTGCCAGGGCCGGTGCTAGGATTCTAGGCAAGGTAGGCAAGGTGTATTTTTGCGCCCCGCACCTGACCCCCTGTAAAAACAGGGCATTTTGACAAGTACTTGTACTTGTCAAAATGCCCCAATGTTTGCGCTATGTTTTGGGTTTTTTTCCACTTCCCTTCGGCGCGGGAGAGCAGCGGCGAGTCAGCGCTGGTCCGGTGGGAGGAGCTCCAGGTGGGGTCCTAATTTAGCTGGCCGGCAACTGCCTGAGGTGCCGTGCGTGTCGGGTGCGTGTTGGCAATTCTATAGCCTATTTTTTTTTTTTTTATATAGAATGGGGTCACAACATAAGACTAAGCTTTTTCTAGTTGCTGTTTTGGTAACCTTTTTGGTGAGTACATAGGAAATTAAATGCTAATATTACTAATAATTAGTAACTGTGGAGGACTGGAGAAACAGCAGCAGAAGGGGGAACTATCACCAGGGCTAAGGCTCTGGCAGTTTTGCCCTGGAGAATGACACCCCTTGTATTACACCCCCCTATAGTAAAACTACAGAACACAACTGTACACAATTGTACTGCATTCAGCTTGCAGCCGCTGAGCGCGTTTCCGCTGGGTTTGTCCCTCTCCGCTCCCCGTACATTGTAGACATTAGCGGCACGTTGCCTAGCGCCTGTGTCTGGTATCCATGGAAACAGACACGCGCAGAGCTCGGAGCCGGTGTCAGTGTTGTGTGTTCGGTAAAGATGGATGAAAACATAAAGGAAGAGCAGCTGCAGGAACTGTACGCCTGGATAGACCAGGTACCTCTCAGCCGCCCGAAGAAGAATATTGCCCGGGATTTCAGTGACGGAGGTACCATGGGGAAGTCTGATGTAAACACGAGGAGGGAGGGGAGCTCCAAGGATGGAGCACTATCTGTTCATATACTGGAGGCAGTCAGAGGAGATGGTGAAATAACATGATGGCATGGATGGGGTTGTAGAACAATGGAGGTTCGTGGATGTAAAATTAATTTAGGGTTCATGCAGATGGCCGTTAAAAAAAATAAAAAAATGCAGTGGCTTTTATCCGTGCTTTTCTTTTTTTAAATGGCCCTTAACCTACTGTATGTGTATTGTTTTCTATGGGGCCTATCAGGGGCTGACTTGCAACATTTGGCTCAGGGGGCACATACAAGCCAGAGGTCAATGGTGCAGCAACTAAGCCCCCCTCCTGCTCTCCCTCTTCTCCCGCCTCCTCCCCTCCCTTGCCAGCCACTTTCACGTAGGTATAACATGTAAGCAGGACTGCTTGTACCGCGCAGTACCATGTGTGCAATTTTAATGGGAGTGGTGTGGCTTTTTTACAGGGCATGAGTAGAGCCATGTTTAATATTAATTTGGTCCTGGGCATTATTTTTTACCTGCATTGATAGATAAGGCCCATGGGTGTAACTAGAAATCACAGGGCCCCTTAGCAAAGTTTTGTATGGTAACCCACACCCCATCCAAGAAAAAATACCTACCTCCAGAACACGTTCCCATGCCTGCACCATCAGAGGCGAGGAAGAGATCGCCGCTCACTGCTGCAGGGCCAACCATAGACCCCACACAGCCCACCTGACACCCCACGGAGCCCACTTAAGACCCCACAGAGCCCACCATAGAACCTGCACAGCCCGCCATAGACCCAACACAGCCCACCCTGCACATACCAGAGACCCCACATAGCCCACCTGAGAGTGACTCTGCAGAGCCCACCATAGAGCCCACTTGAGAACCCACACATACCAGAGACCCCACATAGCCAACCTGAGAGTGACCCTGCAGAGCCCACCTGAAACCCCACGCATACCAAAGATCCTGCATAGCCCACCTGAGAGTGACCCCGTAGAGCCCACCTGAGACTTTCTATGGTGGGCTCTGCAGGGTCTCAGGTAGGCTGCTCGAGGTCCCTTTCCCTGCACATGTGTGCTCCGCTTACCTGTCAGCCCCGAGCCGCCCGCTGCTTGGCCCTGGCCCCCTCCACCTCCGCTGCCGGACCAGTGCTGCTGGGCCCCAGCCTCTACCACCTCCGGCGCTGCTAAGCCCTGCCCTCATCCACTTTCACCTGTCTTTTGCCTTTACGGCCCCCATGTGCCCCTGTCTTTTGCCTTTACGGCCCCCATGTGCCCCTGTCTTTTGCCTTTACGGCCCCCATGTGCCCCTGTCTTTTACCTGCACAGTCCCCATCTGCCCCTGTCTTTTACCTGTACGACACCCATGCGCCCCTGTTCTGTACTTGAGCAGCCCCCATGTGCCCTTGTCTTTTACCTGTACGGCCCCCGTGTGCCCTTGTCTTTTACCTGTACGGCCCCCGTGTGCCCTTGTCTTTTACCTGTACGGCCCCCGTGTGCCCCTGCCCTGTATTTGTACAGCCCCCATATGCCCCTGTCTTTTACCTGTATGGCCCCTATTTGGCCCTGTCTTGTACTTGAACGGACCCTATTTGGCCCTGTCTTGTTCTTGTACAGCTCCCCCATCCTAAAACTAAAAGTTTATTTAGGCTTTAACAATGTTGCATATTATCATAACACACATGTGAAAAATATTTTTCATTTTGCAGTCTCTTTATTTCAGGTGTCTTGTAATATGTTCTGTGCTGGTAATGAAATCAGACCAGTTGTAAACAGTTTGAGGCTAACCAGCAGGACTAAAAATACTAGCATGCCCTGGGAACTCTGAAGAGTACATCTCTATATCTTATCCGCAGCGATCTTCTGATGCTGCCCAATATAACACCATTTATGGACGGAGGGAGGGTTGAGGGAGAATACAGCACTACTACTACACAACACACCCCCAGAGCTCCTGCTCGGCAACTCTGTCCTCTGAGTAGCCGCAGCCAGCTAAGCCCGGGCACTGAAGACGCCCCGCCTCCTGGGGAGGCCGCACTGTACGGGAGGCCAGCAGCAGCTGTGAGAAGGACAGCACTGCTGCACACATTGCTGACAGCCCCGTAGCCTCTGGGCTGCCTAGGGAACCATATGCAGCACTGACCCAGCCTGCAGGCATCAGAGAGGCCCGGGGGGCAATTGCCTCCCTGCCCCCAGGCCCAGTCCGCCCCTGGGGCCTATGTACACGTTGTGTAACTCTGTTGCATTCAGATCTGTAAAATCAAAGTAAACAAACTCAGTAATTGATATATGTACACATGAATATTTGGAGTGCTATCTGGAGCCTGGTGTTTGCAATTTGTACATGTGTCGGTAAGAAGGTGGACACACACCCAAGGACTATTGCCTGGACTGGCCCGGAGCAGTAACATTATTCATAAAGACCTCCCATAACGAGGGAGCCAAGGAATACAGCACTTTGCCCTCAGTAGTGATGGGCTCGGGCGTGTTCGCAGTTCCACGTGCCGAGCCCGCCAGGAAGCTGGCAGCGCCAATCACAGGCACTGAGACATTTCCCGATCTCTACAGCTGCGGACCGGTCAAATGTCTCAGTACCTGTGATTGGCACTGTCAGCTTCCTGGCGGGATCAGCACCTGAAACTGCGAACACGCCCGAGCCAATCACTAGCCCTCAGCAGTTCATCCACAAGCCCCCATGGCAGTAGTAGTGGGAGCTGTGACGGCCATCTTGGTTGAGGGCTTCTGCCCTCACTGGAGCTGGAAATGCTGGCAGGACATACAAGCTGCCAGCTTCAGGACCCATGTGCGGGGCTGCACACTGCCTCTGGATCAACCAGACCAGGGGCGGTGCTGGTTTGAGGCCACATGGCAAAATGCCTCTCCTGCTGGCTGCTTGTCAGCTGTGGCTACCTGTGGGACATAAGTACCCTGTTGGGGGTGTCCTAGCCCTTCACTGTTGCAGATAAGTGGGCATTGTTGAGAGCGGTATGTTGGGGGAAGGGGGTAGTCTGGCCTTCATTGAGGCTGCCAGAACAGGGATTCCCTTTTATGGCCCATATGTGGTTTGGCAATGCAGGAGGTACAGAGGACCAGTTTTGTAATGTGTGAAAGCTGTCTCCTGTGGCGTCACTCCATCCTCTGGTTCCCCACCCCTAGCCATGTATGTACATGGCTAGGGGTGGGGAACCAGAGGATGGAGTGACGCGTTACGCTGTTGCAAAGTGCGTAAAAACAAATCATTTGTTGTAATCTTTGTGAACAAATTACCTTGCATTACAAGCAGCTAGAGATGTCAGGGATGGCTTGTTTTTTTAAAGGACTATAGGTAACATTTTTTATTAACCCTTGCAGTGGGGCTACCCCCACACTGTAAGGTTAGGGTTTAGTGCCTATTTTTGCCTAAGGTCAAAAATAAAGTTATACTCACCTGATCCTCAGATCCACCTTGCTCCTAGACTGGTCCCTGGAGCCTCTCTCCCCTCCACTGCAGCGGTCTAAGACTCCTTGAGTCATCATTTTCTATATGCAGTGTGTAGGGTGTGAGGATGCCTAGGGACATACCAGCGCTGCAGTGGAGGAGGAGGAGATTTGGGTGAGTATATCTGTGTTATTTTTAACCCCAGGCAAAAACAAGCACTTAACCCTTGCAGTGCGGGGGTAGCCCCACGGCAAGGGTTAATACAGTTTTCACAGAGTTCTTCTTTAAAGCTCTTCTATCAAGTATTAAAGGAGAACTATGAGGTGAGTGATTTACACTCATCCTCATAGAGCTGACCTGTGGCAATGAAACTGTCACACGTCGGCTCTATAGATCGGTAAGTGTGCAAACACATACCATCGCTCGCTCACTTCCCGATCTTCTCCCTGCATAGAATGGTGACTGTCAGTCACTGCTCCCCGCAGGGATTCCCCCCTTCCCTCTCCGATCCTCCATCACTGACTGTAGGGATGGATGGGGGAGGGGTCGGGTACAGCTGACTCTACCTCTAGATAGGCAGAGCCAGCTGTCAATCGGCCAGCTGGGTGGATCCAGACAGTATTGTTGGGATCAGTCCAGGCTGTGGCGCTCTCAGTATATCGTGGCGAATAGCCCGCTATGTACTGAGCTTTGGGTCACGGGAGGAGGTTAGTATATGTCTAGAAAGGTTACCACATAGTTCTCTAACTTTTTCTCCTATCTGCAGGTTATTTGTAGATGGCAGATTGATATTAATAATATAATTATAAAGATATTTCACTTTCATACTCAAATAACAATATTTTTTGTTTGTTTTATAGTTTTGGTTGCAGAAGTTACCAAACATTTTATTCCCAAGATTGTTGAAATACACAACTACGTTTCAGCAAACTCAACACAACAGAAACTGTGCAATTGGGCAACTTTGAATCGGTAATGTGATGTTTATGTTTACTGTTATGAGTGAGAATAAATATTGTTGACAACACAGGTGGAACCAACTAATACATAATTGTTGATTAGAACTAAAAGATAATAACTGGAACAATGATGGTGGGAACAAATAATTTAATTTCCTTCATACTTCATTAAAAAAGAATGTTTTAATTTACCATTAATTTATAGGGTATAACATCACTAAGGCCTTGTTCACACCAAATGCAGAGCAGATCTGCATGAGTTTATGCACACGCAGTGCAGTGGGTTGTGCCGCGTTTTTGATGCGTTCCAGGCCGTTTTTGGTTAAAAATATTTTTTTTAATTTTTCGGAACGCTGCGATGTGAACTGGAGCTAAAAATACCATTGGAATACATTGGACGCAGTCTTGCTCCGGTCTGTAACTGCTCTGCTCCTGGAACGCGCTTGGTGTGAACAAGGCCTTAAGCTTTTTTAATTGTTTTTGGTAGATTGGGGAAGGATTATGCCTCTTTCACATGGGCGAAATGTGTCCGCCTGTCAGTTTTTCAGGCGAACCCGATCGGATGCCCAATGTAAGTCTATGGGCAGCTGTGTGTACACTGACGGGTGTCCTTTTACACTGGGTTACCCCCGACTCCAGCCAGGTCCGGAAAAGCAAATGCATCAGAGATCTGACATACCTCACCTGCATTGCTCTATACTATAATTAAAACAACAAAACAATAACTTCACAAATCAATATGTACTTAGTGATCAGAGATCTGTTTAGCTGGACCTGATCATGCCAGATCAGAGGTAATCTGATGTAAACGGACACATGTCCATTTATTTCCAATTTCCCCATAGACGGACATGGCGTCTGGTCATTTCAGCTTTTTCTTACATTGCAAGTTGGAGAAAAAACTGGATGGACATGGATGTCACAGCGGTGACATCTGATCTGTACTGCTCTGATTAGGAGGTGATCGGATCTCCTCCTGATCAGCCTTTGTAAAGGGGGCATAAGAATGTTCACCAGGTTTTAGCGTTAAAATTCACCAAACTGCATTGGAGTCAACAGGGGCAGCTTTCCAGACACCATTAAAAAAGTAATTAATTATTATATTGCTCTAGAATTTTTTTTTTTTTTTAAGGCAGCTCATGAACAGATGGCCATAAACAAGTGACTGATGCATCCTAATCACCTTAAACCAGTGGTCCCAAGTACCGGGCCAGCGGACCGATATCATGTGGCTCACAGCCAGCTGACAAGTCAGGTATGCAGTCACGGACTGCGTACCTGACTTGGGGGAAAAGCTACATGGTCTGCATCTGGCATAGCTGCTCCTGGCCATGCCGGCACTCAGTAGTTTCTTTCAGCCGGCGCTCTGACAGCCTGCACTGAGCGCAGGCCGAAAGGAAGGATTGGTAATATCTGCACCAGCCGGAGGAGCAGATCATACTAATCAACCTCTGGATCACCAGGGAATGTGCCTCCTCCCTGCAAAAAAAGTAAGCAGGTGGGGGGGCTCTTTCTTTTATTGTGTTTTGTGTGGCAAGCATTTCTGTGTGTGTTTGTATTAGGCCCCATTCCCACATGTAAGTTTAGGTGCGATTTAGGGATTCCTGCATCCTGACTCAAGAAAAACGCAAGTTCCTGCAGCAGGAATCCCTAATCTGGCGTTTACAAGTGGCAGCTGTCACCCAAGTTAATGATCAGGTACAACAATCACTCTCCCTGGACACATCTATCGTGTGTCCAGAGAGAGTGATTGTTTTCTAATCACATGTAATCGTATCGCATATGATTACATGCGGCGTGCCAGCATTTACATGCAGTGGCTGTCACCCAATGAACTTGAATGGGCGACCGCTTCCGCTTGAAAACGCCAGATTGGGGATTCCTGCTGCAGGAAAATGCTAATTCCTGATGCAGGAATCCCTAATTGCACCTAAACTTACAGGTGGGAGTGGAGCCTAAAGATGCCCATACACCTCCCGTGATCGTACGATAATCGGCAGGTGTATGGAAGGCGTGCAACCGTTTCTCTGTACGGTCGCACGTCTTTTGTCTTCCGAGCACGCTGGAAAACCTGCCGAAAATCGTAGGATTTATTGTGTGTGTGCGTATTTCTATGTGAGTGAATGTGTAAATCTGTTGGTCCTCTATGATTTAAAATTTAAACCTGTGGGACAAAAAAAACCCACACATAAACATACTGATATGACACGCACAGAAACATTAACAGACATACCGACATCACTTACAGAAATCCTGACAATACACACACAAACCATCACAAAAAATATACTGACATTGCATACACAGAAACCATCACATATACTGACATTATAAAGACATGCAGACATTAACACTGGTACTGTGTATAGTTACATTTCATTTTGAGGTATGAAATGTGGCAAGCGGCCCCCACGGGAGAAGAAAATTTGTCCAGTGGCCCCCAAGTGAATTGAGTTTGAGACCCCAGTTTTAAACCAAAGAAAAAAAACACCCTATATTACAACAAAACATAACACACACTCTATCACTATCACTAAACAACCCCCCCCCCCCCCCCCAAAGAAAAGACCAATGAGTGACTGCTATCCCTCCAATCCACTTATTAAATGCAGCTTGTAAGGTTTTTATTGCCTTGGTTTTTTGCTAAATTGCTGGGTATCCTGCCAGTTCCTCTTGGTTTTGAAATCAAACTGACCACTCTAGGTACGGAAGCAGAGCAGGGTCAGTTTGCATCTCTTCTGACGCTGTGCTGATAATACACATAGTGCCTATAGTCCTGCAGTCGGATTCAGCTTCTACATCCAGCCCTCAACAATTTATTTGACAGTGGCAGGAGCTGCGCTGAGCAGAGCAGTTTGGATTTTCATGGAGCTCCTTGTATGATGTCAGTGGAAGATGTTAGCGGAAGCTGCCGAGCATCTTTTGCAGGCCTTATGGAAGGCCAGCATTCTGAGCTGTGGAAGAGGAGGGGGACGACTTAAACACCCCCCCCCACCCCCAAAAAAAACCCCTAAATGTGCCTAGTGTGTTTTGTGTGTTTTTTAACATAATTTGCATTCACATACACTTTAAGAGCTAGCAATTAATCAGTTGTTGTTGACAGATAGTAGCCTATAATAAAACATTTGGGTTCAATTTAAACTTTATAAACATGGGGGTACAAAGAAGAATGTACCCCACAGTGCAATACCCAAAATGCAAGCACAGTTCACTAAATTATCTATACCAGCGGTCGCCAACCTGTGGTCCATGGACCTCTGGTGGTCCGCAAGAAGCCAGGTAATAGTGGCTCAGTGTGGGGGAAGGGGAGGCACGGGGGTGGTTGGGGCAGTGCTGAAGCTAGGGGGGGCATGTGCCCCGGGCGCCGCCGGCAGGGCCAGTGGCAGATTTGATAGGGGGGGGAGCGATTAATATTATTACTGGGCCGGGGCGGGCGGCACCGCTCCCTCCCTCCCTCCAGCACTGCCACTCCTGCAGGCACACCGGCACCTATGTATGTATGCGTATATATACTGTATGTATATATATCTATAGATATATCTGCAGATATATCTATAGATATATATAGATATATTCTCACATTTTTTGTTTCCTCAATATATAAATATATTCGTGTGTGAATTCCTCGTCTGCTCTGTGTGATCACTGAGACCGTGGCGCTGTAATCGCAGCACCTCCTGTCTCAGCGGTCACTAACTGCAGCTTCAGTCACAGCTTCTGTCATAGAAGCTTTGTCAGAAGCTACAGTCTGTCGAGTGCTCCATAAGGCGCGCCGGACCTCCCAGCGTCCTATGGACCGGTGCGTCTTATGGACCGCAAAATA